TCACCTGCTTCTAAAATGAAACTCCTTGAACTTATCAAAAACTCAACTTTTCGCCTGGAAATTTTTCCATAGAGGTAACTCAACATGCTCTCTACACGAAAGATAGATCAAAATCTCTTCATTCTGGGTTTTAGGATGAGTCTCAAAAGACCAATTTTCGAGAGATCCACACTAAAAGTCCATATGGGCCAAAATGAATATCATATTCGTGATCAGCATTCTAAATTACCTACAACCATGTTTGTTTCAAGGAAAAAGCGACTGGACACTTGGGAGCCCTCTCTCGTCAGTCAAAATCGATCGAAACTACTTTAGAATATCAAAAGATATTCTATTTTATTTGCTCAACCTGATTATGTACTTTAGAGGGTGATCATTAAAAAATATTTGCTTACTCTGGAAAGTTCTAGCAAATCTTGCCCAAAAATCAAAGGATTTTTAAAATAATAACTGAACCATAAGGTACAATGTCAGCATATTACTGATATATTAGCTAATAGAGCATAGTTTTTTCTGTAAATCGGCATTGTTGACAAAAATCGTCATCTCTTATGAGACGGGAGGCTTAAGAGGTTAAGAATAATCAAATCAACTAATAACAACATAAAATTTCAACTACAATGACCAAATGTAAATTTTATTAAAATCTATAAATGAATCGTGAAAGCGAGAAGTAGTGGAGCCATGGAAGAGTCTACCCCGCAGAAATATCAGGTGTTGTCATTGTGCGGCATATAATATCCTCAGCAGTTCTTGTTACGCAGTGCATCATCGTCAAGGAGTCCACGTGTGCAGATGATAGGTGATCTGAAAGAATTGTGAGTGTCTGAGTTATAGATATTTATGTTACATATGACGATGTTAGACATTTTATTTCCATTTTCTACAAAAAAAACAATAAAATCAACAATAAAATCAACATGATAAATTTGTTTTAGTGATGAGTGTGTGAATGATAAGACGGGTCAGGAAGGCCAGCATGAGACGATCTCGGTTCGAGTTGTAATGATATAGAATATGATCCATCATCACTGAGCAATCTAGAAGTGTCTAATAAATATGCACAGACCTAGAACGAAATTATACAAAATATAAAGCGACTGTATGGTTAGAAGTAAATGCATACTTTTGGATTATGTTTAATTTTGAACGGTATCGATTGAAACCGTCTAATTTCGCTTATAATATGTGTTTTCATACGCATTTTAGAGAAATTGATCATACATTTTTCAGATATATCTGGAGTACTTTCTTCAATAAACGAAAGATCAGATAAATAAAGTCCTAGATATGGTACGGCTGGTGGATCAACTCTGAAGCAAAGTGTACAATATTCCATAGACAGATAGGTAAAATAGAAGCCAAAAGCTAAAGCCTTTTTTTATTCTTGAGTTTTTTGTTAGACTCCAATAGCAATTCCCTGATTTCAATCGGAAAGTTTTTACAAATAGCTCGATCGTATTGAATCAGTATTTCTGGAAAATGCGAAATGTCTCTGAACTTTTCACGGTAGTTTTTCATCAAACTTCATCCTCATCGAAATCAGGGACTTGTCTAGAAAAATTCAAAAAATTACAAAGCAGCTTCAACTTTTGCCTTTCACTTAAGATGGTAACGTCACTGTTTACCTAGATAATGTGTCTCGTAAATTTTTAAATTTTCCATCTGAATGAACCAGATTTTGTAATTTATTAATCACCTGCTTGTTCTAGAATATAAAGCAATTATTTAATTAAATTGGCAGTCGATTATCTATCTATCAGCGGTTACGCACTTGTTTCGATATCCGATCCCATGTATTTTTTAATCGAAATACAGCACTATTCACGAATGCCGCAACAATTTGTAAAACACCGTTAAAATTTCTCAAATAACGACAAATATCAGCAATTGTACCTTTAGAATAATGAGAATTATAAAGACTGATGAAACATTTCTTGAAATAGAAAACTAAATACCCCATTTTTCGATACATTGAACACGACCATTAATTGTTGGTTGTAAAAGAATTTCTGTGATAACAAGTCGACACATCTAAACTTCGGGATAAGACTTGTTCATAGATGAAATAAATATCCACTACTTACTTCATTAAATCTTTTGCTAACTAATGCCACATTAGGAGCTAAGTCATCTCGAGCTTTCATCCATCCTTGTAATAACAATTCTCTTAAAAATCGAATTAATACATGTATTAAGTAAGCGTTAGATTATTTATAAATTAACTTACTCGCCACCAAGTGAACAAAATAATTTATGATCGATAAGTGTCATTTGTTCAGCTACCTCCGACACAGCTAAACTGGTAAATGTGGCTTGTTCGAAATCTGGAGGTAACTAAAATTACATAACTTCTTCTACGCGGTTCATATGGCAACAGATGTTGGGATATGAGCCACTTACCGATGGATTTAATAACAACTGTATTTGTGCTGCTTTTTCATTCATCTCATCAGTTTCTAGTTGTTTAATAATTGAGACAGCAGCTTTATGTTCAGTCGCTATCAAATGATTACTTAAAAGCATATCCTGAAGTAATTCTAGCACCATTTCTTTCAATTTAACATTTTTATGAAAATCCTGAAGAAGAAAAAAATATAGATTATAAATCACACTTGTTATCTATCACAGCTTTGCATTCTAGAAATATATAAAATATACGAACTAGCGGATAAGTGGTAAGCCAATGCCTTAGTACATTGAGTACTCTCATTGTTGCGGCTGTATTGACTATTATCCATTCGTTTGCGTTTTGTTCTCGAGCTGCTTGATTTATAACTGCACCTATAATACGTTAATTGGCGAGAAAAGAATAGATGAAAGCAATTCTACTACTAACCGGTCGAACTGCCTATTCGTTCGTGTCTTGTTACTTTTGGTGATTCTCCAGACGTAGCTATGGCAAACGCATGTGTTGCTGCTGACAATGAAATTCGGCGTCTCGATGATCTTGATGATGTCACAACAACACCTGGTAACACCTTTTTCAATGATCCCTCAGCTGCATTACGTAAACTTTGTCGTGGTGATGATAAAACGTCACTAAGACGTTTAGCTAGAAATAGAGCAGAATAACTGTAACAACTATGAGTGATTGACAACAACAGTATGACATACTTAACGACTGAATATTTTGTGACGATATTTGCATCGGTTGTGGCGAAATTGGTGCACCATTTATAGAATCATCTTGAGAACGAATATTATCTGATGATGGTGATACTTGTTCGGTTTTTGTTTCATCTATACATGTTTCCTTTAAATAAAACATAATAGAATAGAAGATATATAATGCTTTACAAGTTATCACGAACTTTAGTGGTAATTATGTGATATTCATCAGCAACTTCAACTGTACCAAAACGAATCCTACAGGATGATTGAGATAAATTTGCAGCACGTGTTTGTGATGATGACATTCTTTCTCTTATTCTCGGTGATGGTGAATCAGATTGACATTCGAAGGAATCACGATTACTTCTCTGTTCTTGACTTGTTTCTAATCGAAACACATCAAATGTGGACGATGAAGGAATAGATTTCTTTAATCCATTAATCGTCATTGCATCATTACCACCCATTGATAAAATTACAGTGACATCAGATAGTGTTTCTAATGAGGCTAATGGAGCTAAATGTGAATTCATATCATCAGCTGATTCTGCCGTGCTTGGAACCATTGTCTTCTTGGTGTCGACTGGTGACGAGAAAGTTTTCGAAGCTAGTGTAGAAAAATATGGTCCAGATAATTCTAACAAAGTATACAAAATTTTACTTACTATTTTCCACGATAGCTGTTGTGATTGTTGTATCGTGCTGTTCAATACTCAATCCTCGACGAAATGATCCAATATGACTATGTCTTCGAAGATCTCTTTCTTGTTCAGCATTTGTCTTTTTACTTGAACCTTCTACTACTAGACGTGTCAGTTCGCTTTCTTCTTCATTAATTACAGAATTTTGTCTTGAACGATAAAACAAAATTCACATTGAAAATGAGAAATTGGATAAGAATATTGAAAGTTACTTTTGTCCATCTGATTTATCGACATCACCGGTATCAACGGACGTATGCGGTGATGATTTGTAAACTTTGATTAATATTTCCATAATAGTGTAGGCATCAGTATACAATCGATACGTTAATAAAAATGTATTTAGAAAATCAATCGATAAAAATCGTAGATCAGTCAAACGTTCTAACAATTTTTCAACAGTTGCATATCTAATCTGAAAAAAAATGCAAAACAATGGTAAAAAAATATATACTTATTTTTTTATATATTGATAACGTACCTGTGGAATTTTACATGAATCTAGTGTTTTGCTATATTTGATTTCTGAATCATCTTTAAATAATTTCACATCAGCTCTGTAAAAAGAAATAATATTTGAAAAATCATTATATGCTTTAATCTCTAGAAATTACTTGACAGATTCTGGCATTACAACTGATGATTCATTTCTAAATGAACATTGAACTAATTCTGTATAACGTAAATTTTGTAAACACTAAACATAACCATCAGATAATGTTCTCTTGTGTTAATTTTATACAAAAAAAAAAAAAAATGATATTTTTACTTGAGCAATATCTGTGCACCATTCTGATTTTTGTTTTTCATCATTGGCCAATAGTGTAGTAGAATACGGTGGTTGATCACGTGCTTCAACAATTAATCGAAACATTCGATTCATTTCATCAACATTTTCAGATTTATTAAAATCCAGTGTAGTAATTAAATCGTCTTGATCTATTTAAAAAGTATTTTAACTAAATATGAATATATTTTTCTTTTTAATTTCTTACTTTCTTCTTCATTGACAGATGCTAAAAAATGTTGTGGATCAGATGTAATATCTTCAACAAGTGTTACATCAGCCAAAGAAATACAGCCACAGCCTTTGACAAGATGTAGTTTGCCGTTCGATGCTCGTATTGTTAATATTAAATGATTCGAAAATAGATAACATTGTACTATTGCTTCATTACGACGCATTTCTCTCGTAAAACGTTGTCCAATACTTTTACTTTTTTCTGTTGTTATTAATACAAGACTATCTTGTCGACATAGAATTTGATTAACATCTAATAATACGTCGCATCCTTCTGTAATACTACGTTCAATAGCCAAATTTGTTCGAATATGTTCTGTTTCACTTATTTCATCATGCATTATCTACAAAAAATTTAACAAAGTTGATTCTTAGCCTAATAAAAGCATAAAAATGAAGTTAATTTGATATACCTTTGATAATTCTTCTAACTTTGATTTTGCTTGCTCTAATTTTTCACGTTCAACATGTTGAAATGGAGTATGTGAGAGACAATTTGCTAAACTTATTATGTAATGAGGTATCTGAAAGAAATATGTTAAAAGATGATGTTTATTTCTAATAAAATTAGAATTTACTTGATTCATTGGTAACACCAAAAGTGTTTCCAAAGTTTGTCCTTCACATGCTGCTTTCATTTCACATCTTTCGAGTAATTTGTTAAATCCAGGATTACGTTGTTTAGTTTCGATAAGTACCTTAACAT